ACTCTCTCTCTCTTCTTGTTCTATATATATATATATATATATATATATATATATACTTTTTTCCTTCTTTTTTTAGATGGGTGTGGTTTGTAGAGAGCCGAGGCTCTAAACAATCAATTTAGAGCCCACCTTCAAATAGTGTTGAGAAATGTGGTTGCCATATGGAAAATATTTGTGATAGCTTTAAAATATATTTTCATCTTTAATTATAAAATTTAAAGTTTCAAAAATATAGTGTAGATCGAGCAGATGTAAGAAAATTTGAAAATCTTGAAAATTGACGGTCCAAAAATGCATTACAATATGCACCATTTTTTTCTCATGTCCATGCATCTTGATGTCGAGATGATCAATTTGAAGACATTTAGACATCAAAACAACCTCTTCTAGTGAAATTTCTGAGGTAGGCTCTAATTTGATTGTTTAGAGCCTAGGCTCTATATAAACTTTTTATTTTTTCCTATATTATATATAGAATGTCAACATCTCATAGAAGGTTCTGGTATAGACACAGCTCTATAACGTCAACATGAAGTCCTAGAAGGTTCTGGTATAGTCAGAGCTTAGTACTGTCCGATCGATGGATTGGATGATGATGGAGGGATAGTGGGTCTAGAAAGACATGTCATTAGTTCAACCATACACCCTGCTTTCCCTCCACCATTCAACCAAATGTTTGGATGCCAATGAGTGTATTGTTGTCATGATCATATAGGTCATACTACAGGTTCCCCTACTCAGGCTCTGTTTGAATTGTTTATATTTTTCTTCTTGTTATTCTTTCTTAGTCTTAAATGACCAAAATGATTGTGTTTGTATGTTGTGTGCTTTTTACAGCCGGCAAAGGATGAGGGTAAAACCCAAGATGGTGATGCAGAAGAAGTCCCGAGTAGTAAGAGACAACGGACAAAGTCATCTCACGGTGATTCACGTGCTCAGAAGACCAAGGATGAGAATGATAGAGGATTCGATACTGAAGCCTTGAATGATGACAATGGATATGAGGAACAGCATGCAGGGGAAGATTATGGTTACGAAAATGCACAAGGTTATGGGAATGCAGAAGAAGGTTATGGTTATGGGAATGCAGAAGAAGGTTATGGTTATGGGACCGCCGAGGAAAAGTATGTTTATGAAGAAGATTACGGTTCTGATTATGGATATTAAAATTTTGACTCTCTCCCTCTCTGTCTTTCTTCTCACTCTCTCAGTTGGTAAGCTGGTTATCTGAACCCTGAATCCAATTTTCAAATATTTTGCCTCTTTTCTCTTTCATGGGTATTGATTTTTTTCCTTTTCCTTTTTTTTTTTTTTTTTCAGTGTCACGGTGAGAAGGCAATTCATATGTAAATATACTCCATGGCCAGCAGCATGCAAGTGTGCTGGACCCAATTCATTGTATTGCGGCTTGTAGGTACTTGAAATATTGAGGGTTTTTTTTTTTATGGATTTTTTATTTGTGATGACAATAATATGGTACCCTTTTAAATGGGAAAGGACGACACAATTCAGTTGTGAAATTTGATTGATACTTTAGTGGTTAGTTATTCTGATTTTCCCCTCTATTTGTTTGATGCAAAGTTGATCATTTATTTGATCTTGCTTTATTTCGTGTTCTAATTTACACTCACGCCATATTTTTTTTTTTGTGAAGTTATGGAATATGAGTAACTACTAATAATATAATTGGAAAACCAAGTTACTGGTTGACTTCAGTGCTTAGCGGCAGAACTTTAGTTCTCGTGCGGTTGGGTTTCGGGTTCTAATCCCGCAAGGGCCATTTTTTGAAGTTTATAGGGTAGGTCGTGTATGAATAAAAAGTTGGTCATTGGTCGCGTATGAAAAAGTCTGCTAAAAAGTCATTGGTCATTGGTCGCGTATGAAAAAGTCTGCTAAAAAAGTTTGATAGGGCTGTGCAGCCCGATCAAGTAAAGTTCTCACCTTTTATATAACTAACTCTATATAACTCGTCTAAAATTACTAGTAAATCGAAAGTAGTTGTGAAAAAAAAATTATATCAAACATTATAGTAGTTGTGAAAAATATTAAGATTTCAAGTTCTAAAAATAATAGTAACCGAATTATTTAAGCCAATTGTAGCCGAATTATTTAGGCTAAAAATGATAGTGACTATTGTAACCGAATAATTTAGGCCATCTATTTTGCTCTAAAAATAAATGTTTACAGATCCACAACATCTGTACTGTTTTTTTAGTTTTAAATTTTATTGTTGGTGTTGGAAATTGATTTTAGAGGTTATTATAGATATTTTCTTTACTGAAATTTCTTTATGAACGAGGATTTAAGGTGAAGCTTGAAATTTCATCCAAAAAAATAGTGTATCATGTAACATATTATTCAACCGTCCATTCTCAAGATTTTTATGTACTTGTAGATCTATTTGATTTGAATCATTTTTATGGTTATAAAGTTTATAATTATAAATAAAAATAGATTCTCACGCCATTCTAAGAATTTTTTACCCTAAGATTATATTTAGGATAAAATTTGGCGGCATGCCTTGATTTGATTGGTTAAAGTTGCAACCTTATGCAAACCACACCCTTTAAAAAATAGAAAACTCAAAACTAGGCTTAGGCTTAGGCTATGAATAAAACAAAACTTCATTTAAAACTCATTGAAATTTGCATATGGAAAATTTTAAAATTAATCTTCTTGACTTATATTATCATCGATGTTAATAAGAAAAGAGGGGGGATTTCAAATCTTAGAAAAGGCGTATCTTATAACACATTACACCAAAGATTTGCAAGGTTTGAATGTTTTTTAACTTTAAATTTCTTTGCGATGTATGGAAATTGATTTTCGAGACGGTTCACATGTTGGAATTTTATTTCTAAGTAAATATTTGAAGTGATGTTTTATTTTTTTACCATAAGGCCTAATGATTGAATAAATTGTATCCTTTAGAAATACTGCAAATTAGAGGCTCTAGTGAATTGCTTGGAATCACCAACCGAGTGATCTGGTTTGATTCGAGCGAGGCCGGAGCTGACTAGGCAATGTCTCGAATATTGTTAAAATAGGGGAATCGTAATATACCTAAAATATTGTTCATAAATCGGTTTTTGGTCCAAAAAATTAGAAGCAAGCAATTAGGTTTAGAATATGAACCGTCAAAAAATAAAGAGAAGTATTTTTCTTGCGTTTACTTGGACAAAACCTATATATTTATACAAATATTTTAGCACATATATACGTGTTATAGCTTTCAAAATAGGAATTGATTATCCTATACAACAAACTCATTCAAATTGCAGTAGCTTTATCTTTAGGAAAAAGTTTATATAAGGTTGTAACCTTAATGTAGAACTACGGATGCACCTAAAAATCCATCGGAAAATATTATTTTAATATTTAAAAACCATCATCTCGACATCGAGATATATGATTATGAAAGAAAAAATGATTTTGAGTCCCAGAAATAATGTGTCTTACAACACATTATTTAGACCATCCATTTTAAATTTTTTTATATAGATCTACTTGATTTAACCATTTTTAGAATTTAATATTTTATAATTAGGTATGAAAATAGATTTTGAAATAATCCTAATAATATTTTACCCCAAAATTATATGTTATGATCAAATTTTAAGGTGCGCATTAATTGGATTGTTTAAGGTTGCAACCTTATGAAAACCACACCCTTGTCTCTATCATACTTTACAAAGAGATAGAGATTCAAACTACAAAGACATAAAAAAATAACATTTAAACAACACAAACAGGTAGACTTTCAAACTAGAAAGATAGATATTCAAACTACAAAGGCGTATTTGGGAACCTAAAATTAGTTAAGTTAAAGGATTGTACATATTTTGGATTTGACTCAAAATCTAATGAAAAAAAGGGACATATAAAGATGGCATAAGATAAAATTTATAATTTGCAACTATTATGAAGACTGTTAAGAATAATTTTATGGCTTCACCTAATATCATTGAGGGTCCTACTTGACAATTCTTTTTCTAAATGTACATTATCCTCAAATCGTACAATAATTTTATGGAGTGCATACCATGAAACAACATCCAACACAAAACAATGACATTAATAAATAACATGAATTATGACCAAGGTATATCATTACTGATAGATATAAAAAATAAAAAAAATAAGACCCTCAATATTGGTTTCCAATTGACAAAAAGCAAAAGCCTAAAATTGTGAAATGCTGACCATCCAAATTACTATACTTATACACCAATGAAATAATAATTTTTTTCAAAAAATACAAAATTAACCAAACTTTTGTATCCATGGAGAAAGTCACATAAAGCTTACTTGTACTAAACAACATGTGCAATTAAACTCAAATTTTTATTTGTTTTATCTCTTCCTCTTTATAGCAATATCTTTGATTTAAAGAAAATAACATTTTTCATTGGGTTACTCTTCTTCTAACTCTACCTATTATTTTGAGATATGTAATTGTTCTAGCAGTATTTTTTCTAGAAATATGTTGACAGTGCTTTTTATTTTATATTATTCAAACTTTTAATGAGCATATGTTTGTGAAAAAATTTATAGAATTTTTTATTAAATCAAGATTTTTAATTTAATCGCACTTTTAATGTGCATATCATGAGAAAATATTCTAAGACATCAAAACAATGAAGAGGAGTGAAGTTTCAACAATTTTTTATAGATTTATAATTGTTCCCAAAAAAAAAAAAGATTAATTGAAGATATGTTGAAAACCCACAATTTTTAACGAATTTAAAAAACATTATTTCTTAAAATAATCGGATTTCAATCAGATACTTGGTATAGTTTGGACCAAGAACTCATGAAATTATAGACTGCATGAACATTTTTAAATTCCCTTCACAACCCTACTAGGGCAGTGATGCCCATGTGGCCATAATTGCAGTGGTTGGTGTTCCAAACTAGAGTTTGAAAAATAGCATTGAAGTGGAAATAAATACTTACGAATTCGATTCCCCATCTTTTTATTCCCATCATTTGGTAGGACAAACATTGTATATGGATACTATTTTCTAGTTTCCAAGTTATCTCTCGGGTGTGGTTTGAATAAGGTTGCAACTTTAAACAATCAAAATAAGCTGGACCTCCCAATTTTATTATAAGATGCAATTTCAGAATAAAAAAACCTTAGAATGGCTTAAGAATCTATTTTCATATTTAATATAAAATTTTAAGCTTTAAAAATGGTTAAAATCAATTGGATCTATAAACACATAAAAATATTGAAAATGGATGGTCTAGACAATATGTTGTAAGATGCATCATTTTTTGAAAGGAAAAGTTTATATAGAGCCAACGCTCTAAACAATCAAATTTGAACCTATCTCAAAAAATTTACTAGAATTGGTTGTTTCGATGTCCAAATATCATCAAATTGATTATCTCAACATCAAGATGCATGGACATGAGAAAAAAATGGATTGCAGATTTTGAAAATAGTGTATTTTGTAATGCATTTTTTGACCGTTAATTTTCAAGATTTTCATAGATATGTCGTTCTATACTATTTTTTAAGCTTTAAACTTTATAAATAAAGATAAAAATGTATTTTAAAGCTATCACGAAGATTTTCAGTATCGAAACCACATTTTTCGAAACTATTTGAAGGTGGGCCCAAATTTGATTGTTTAGAGCCTAGGCTCTATACAAACTGCACCTTTTTTTTTAACTTGAATTTTTATTTTATTTTTTCATATTCCGTGATGCGGAGATGTTTATTTAGAAGGTTTTCGAGCATGAAAACAACCTGTACATTTTAAAGTTGCAACCCTACATTTTTTTTTGGCCCTTGAAGGAGTACAAAAAGGACCAAAACCCTACCATCTCGCTCTCTCTCTCTCTCTCTCTCTCTCTAGGCACTTTCTCTCTCTTCATCACGTCTATTAATCTATCTTTTCGGCTCCCAATCCTGGCACTCTCTCTCTCTCTCTCTTCGTGGAAGGAAGACAGCCTTTGTTTTCAGTCTACTGGTTCTCTGCAATCGCAAACAATAGTAAATTGACATTCTTTTGCCCTCATCTGTGCTATAGTTAGTGCTTTTTCAACCCTAATTTCCATTGAGGCACAGTTTCATTGTTTTTGATTCTCGATTCGACTCCGCTTTTTTACTATTTATCTCTAACAGGAACAATCGTCACTTAGGCACAGTTTGCAAGCTTTGATGACTGAATCCCCATTTCTGGTCAATTCTCTGCAATATCACCATGGGAGCAAGCCGCAAACTCCAGGGGGAGATCGATAGGGTGTTGAAGAAGGTTCAGGAAGGCGTTGATGTCTTCGATAGCATTTGGAACAAGGTCACGCTCCTTCTTTTGAAAACCAAGTTTATATACCCATGTTCTTCCTGTTTCTGTTGATATTAGTAGCAGCTATGATGCTAGCCTTTCTGTATCAGGATAACTTGGACTTCATTGGTGGTCGATTGAGATGTTTTATTTCCCTTGACTGTTACTGAGTCCTTTATTTTGGCTATGGCTTTTCAGGTATATGACACTGAGAATGCAAATCAGAAGGAGAAATTTGAAGCAGATTTGAAGAAGGAGATTAAGAAACTCCAAAGGTACAGGGACCAGATCAAGACATGGATTCAGTCCAGCGAAATCAAGGACAAGAAAGTCAGTATTGAATTCCGTCTATTCACTTGGTTGTTATATTTCTTTACTCCATTTTTCTCAACTTCCTTTCCAGGCTTCTGTTCTTGATTGCAATGCTGGTATTTTTATGTGGGTTATTTTCTATGAATATGATAGAATTGTCTGGTGTGGATTACGTATAAATGTATGTTCATTGTTGATTTTTGATGTTGTTAAATATTCCGTATAGTGGATTGTGAAATCTGGCTGCAGAAATTCTGCCCTTTTTTCTCTGAACAATAGGGTTTAGGACTTGATTTAATTGAGTTATTTGAACTTTGTTTTTGTGCATCTCAATATGTATTTTGGATTTGAGGGTGGTGGAGTTGAAACTCTTTCTAATATCTTTTTCGCCATGCAACACTTTCCACAAATTTCTATGCAAAATTCTGCATTGGATTTGCTAGAATTTGCTTTGATTAACAAGAGTATTTGAATGTAGGTGGATATGATTGAGAATTTACCTGGCTTACTTGCCATTTGGGAATTTGATTTATCTATGTTTCGCCATGCAACACACTCCACAAATTTCTATGCAAAATTCTGCATTGGATTTGCTAGAATTTGCTTTGATTAACATCAGTATTCGAATACATGTGGATATGCCACCAATATGGTTGAGAATCAACCTGGCTTACATGCCATTCTTTGTGGAATTTGATTTACATTACTCAGCTTCACTAATATTTATTTATTTTTGCTATATTATCAATTGTTATTTTGATTTGATGACCGCATTTAATGATGCTTCTCAATGTCAAATGAGGAATCCCATTTTGATTATTACCACTAAAGGTGCATTTTTCCAGGGTATGGGAATGGGGTATAGGTTTGGACAAGGCAAGGGGGTGGGGAAGAGGCCTTTGATATGATTTTATTGGGGTGATTATGTTGGAATAGATGTATTACAATGGGGAATTGTTTTACAGTGAGGGATCATCATCATCATAATCAGCTGAGCCTTATCCCAACTATTTGGGGTCGGCTATACGAATCTTGTTCTACCATTTTACTCGATTAAAGATCATACCCTCACTCAGACCATAAGTCACCATATCTCTTTTCACTACTTCCATCCATATCCTTTTGGGCCTTCCACTTGCCTTTTTAGAGCCTTTCACTAGAACCAAATCACCCCTTCTAACTAATATTGTATTAGGTCTATGCTGCACATGGCTAGCCCGCTCAAGTCTTCTTTTCCTCTTATCGTCTATTAGAGCCACCCCAAATGTCTCCTCGGATGTATTCATTCAAATCCTATCTTTTCTTGCCTTGCCACTCGTCCACCTCAACATCCTCATCCTATGGATATGTTGAATCTTGACCGCCCAACATTCCGTCTTATAAAGCATGGTTGGTATTAGAGTTGTCCTATAAAACGTCCCCTTCAGTTTCATTGGTATGCGGCGATTAGATAAAACTCTAGAGTCTGGATGCACATCTCCACTTCTGCCCACCCAGCTCTAATTTAATGCTCCTCAATCCCTCAATTCTCTTGGATTATCGACCCATCACCCAAGATATTGAATATAATCTCTTTTAGGGAGGGTTTAAGGCCTTCATTATAAATTCATTTGTTTGATTAGAAAAGAGAGAAAAAGAAACTCTGGGGATCCAAAGGTTACTTCAAATTGGCTATGTGAAGGAAAGGAACAGACACAAAATTATAGCATGTGCTATGTTGGACACAAAGGTGCCTGCATTTGGGGGGGGGGGGTGGTAGATCCTTGCGGATTGTTGGACCCCCCCCCTCCCTTATTGTATATAGAATTCCAATTTTTTATTTAAGAAAGTAAGATTTGTATGTAATATATTGTTCAGAAGTTAGAAGTACATATTAAACAAACATACACGACTTTAAACTATAAATAAAATAGTTAATACTTAAAAGCAACATTAAAAGATAAAGGCAACTCAAGATGTTCATTAAATCTTGCCACTCACAAGTCACAACAGATTACTCATAAAAAAAAGAGTCATATTTAACAATCGAAGGCCATAAACTACGAAAAGCAGTCTTCTTCACACACAAATACGATGAAATCAATTATGAGGTTGAGTTTGATCATCACTAGCAACATGAGGTCGACGTCTAGCATCAAGTGCACCTGAATCTGATGATGATGCCAAGCCATTAATATAAGAGTCATCCTCCTCCTCTTCATAAAAACCTTCTTCCCTTGTCTCCTCTGAGTTTGCATCCTCCTCCTCCAAGATCGTTCTCCTCCTCTTTGGCTGCACCTTCTCCTTCCCCTTCCCCCTTTCCTTTCCTGGGCCACTTCCTTCCCCTTTCTCTGGGTTTTGGATCTAGTAGCTCTTATAGGGCTCAATGCCAAACCAACTCCCTGTTGCACTTGGGTCCATGTCAATCTCTCTCCCTCAAATACAAGTTCGTCCCCAGCATTCTGCTTGACCAACCATACACTTGTTGGATCTAAATCTTTCACAAGTATGGGGTCTTCAATTTGAAACCACTTTAGATGGTGCTCCTTTAGGCTTTGATTATATTGAATGGAACAAGGTTGTTCAGTCTCTTTTGATCGAGTCTACTTCTCTTCTTTGTATGTACTTTTCTTATAATATGTCATTTCCCTATTACAAGTTTTTACTAAAAAAAAAGTATCGAGAAAGTTAGTGTAGTAAATTGATAGGACGTACCATCTCAAATGTGCTGAAGTTGCGCTTGTAGCCGAATGATGTACAAGTCAAGTTCAAAATCCATTGCGCCATCCTTTGCAAGTTGGGGGCAATTTGTCCATGGTTGCCCCACCAAGAGGCTATAATACATTTAAAAATAAAAACAAGTAGAATACATATATCTTAATAAATTTAAAATTTTAAAAAGTAGAGTCAAGTTAATTATGGAGTAATAATTTAAATGACAAATACATCTTCAACTTACGTGAATATATTTTTGTCCTTTGCCTTCGTCCTAATTGTCCCCGTAAAGTAACGATATAAGTCAAGTTCCATAGACACTTGTCTTGAACATCTGAGTCGGTTTGGAGCCTCACATTGCACTTGTTAAATGATTCCATGGTAGAATCCCTTCTCTCTATCTCAAGATCAGAATAGAAATAAGCAAGGTTGAGAAAATACCCTTCTAGCTGTAGGGGTCTCTCGAACTGCATATCCCACTTGTCATCTACAATTTTCAAAATGGAGTGATATATTTTTTTCATCTTGCTTCAAGTTCCGCTTGATTTCTTCTCTTGCAACCTCCATTTCCTTGAAAATATGCCCCATTGCCGGTTCCTTTTAGCAAAAAGGCGAAGCACTTTCACAAGGGGCTCAAAAATATGGATGCAAAATTGAACCCCACTCCAAAACCTAGGTGTTATAACAATGTCATACCTTTTTGCTCTTTGCCTCCTTAGACCACTTGCTCTCCTTCTATTCTTCAGACACAAACGCGGTTCGAAGCTTGTCTCTTTGCATATTCAAAGAATCCAAAGACAAGAATGAAGTGGCAAACCTTGTGACCCCCAACCTTACCAACTCAGTTTGATTAGTAAACTTCTTCCTCATGGCTAAAACATTGGTGTAGCTATACATAAAAATTGTTATAGCTTTAGATTTTTCTCTCTTTGTGGTAATTTTTTCAAGCATGAGATCGATATAATGAACCACAAGGCGTCCAGAAAATGTGCAGCCTTGAAATCTCCAACAATCTACCAGCTGCCATATTTGTGACAACTTGCACAACATGTGCCTCTCTCACCTCCGCAATGCACTAATCTACAACACTAAATATGAAAGCCGTATCATGAATTTTATTGGATGTGTTAATTGACTTTAAAAAAATGGCTCTCATGGGACAATAAACTAATAAATTCATAATACTCATACACCTCCTATCAGTCCACAAATCTGTCATAACAATTACCCACCATCTACCCCAAGCATCCTTGTGGGTCTTTAGGTAGGCATTTGTTAATTCCACCTCTTTCTTCAACAAAGGTCCCTTGAGCTCATAAGGTGTAGGGCCCCTATATCTTGGACCAAACTGCCCCACTGCCTCTAACATAGCATGGAACCCCAAATTGGCTAATATTAAATGGTAGACCTTCTTGAAAGTACTATTGAGCCACATATTGATTGACCCTTTCTCTATCCTACTTCTTCAAATGACTCTCTAGACTAGTCTGCTCCTTTTCTCAAACCACCACCTCGGGATCGGGGGGGGGGGGGGGTGAGAATGTATCAATAGGCCCATTTCTCCGAGGTCTCTTATTCCCAATGATAATTGGTCTAGATATCGAGGCCCCTCCCTCTTCATCTTCATCATTTATTCCAGAGATATTTGTAGAGGCCCTAATGTTTTCATATTGTTTCCTTATTGGTTTTTTCTTCTTTTGGATCTCTTCTAAATGATTCGACATCTCTTTCCTAACCTCTCTAGGGACTTGAATACATGGCGCTACATCCCCTCTTATGTCCCTCTTATGCCAGCCAAATGATTTTTCAATCTATTAATGCCAGTATTGTACTCCTTTTTGCAAAATTTGCAAGCTACTTTATTCTTATCATTAGGGTTGCCACAATATCCATATTTCCAACCCGGATCAGTTTGCTTACTTGAACTCGAGGAAGACATTTTCACCTACAGCCCTTAGCTATCAAGTATCAACTTATTACCTAATCCTAAAACTTGCACAAAAATAACAAAGTCAAACTTGAATATATTTAGATACATACACAAAAGCAAGATTAATTTACAACTACATAGTCTAAATATTTGAAATTTCAAATTAGTCATCCAAAGAATATTAAAAAAATGATTGTCAAAAAAATTACAAATAGGAAATGGAGTAGACGGAATTATTACATTGACCCTTTAATATATTGAGTTCTTAACAATCCAAGGACGAAGTAAAGCAAGACACGGCAAAAAAAAATCTAGGTAAAACCTACACATCAAAATTACAATGATTTAGCACATAAAATCGAAAAAACATATTACTCATGCAATTATTTAATAAGGCAACTGTTAAAGTAACTCATGCAAAAAATATATTATGGGGATAAAAGTTATGGTTTATGAATCATATATGTAAACTCATGCATTAAAAAAAAAAAAAAAAAACTCATTCAGTTTGAGGGCAGTGAACTTTTTTCCATTGAATTGCTTTTCCAAACTAAATATCAAATTGGGAGAATAATTTAATTTTTTTTCTTTGGGTGAATTATAATTTAAATAGTTGATAGCATATCAAATACATGTCATAAATTATCAAAAAGAAAATACAAAAAGCAAAGAATAACGTCATAATAAATTGTACAAAAAAAAAACCTAATAAAAAATATTGAAATATACAGCCCAAACCGGAAAGTTTTGGTTTCCAAATCTCCTCTTTGACAACCACTATAAGCCTCAAAAAGATTTCGGAGGAATATCCTTTAATTTTGTGAGCATTCGAGGATGTTGAAAATCTTCAGATTTATGTCTTTCAGAAGGTTTTTCTCTCTCGAAACCTCACTAGAAACACTTGGGGGGCATGTGAAATAGAACTGTGTGGGCATGTGAAATAGAGTGGAATTGTCAATAAAGAAAAGAGGTTGATGGAAATAATGAATTGACAATATTGAGAGAATGGAGCATTTCTATATTGTGTAAAAATATGAATTTCTCACTGAAAAACACTTCTGGTATTAATTTTTTCAATTGGCTTTTATGTTGCATGGGCAGCGAGAATAATGAAATAATCTGTGAGGGATAGTTGTTCAATTGCTTGCTGGTATTGTGTGGCGCGGGTTGTTCATGAGGTGGACCAGAAGGGCTGCTTGTTCTGTTAGATAAGCATCCTCTTCGTTAGCTATTAATTTGAAAGGAAAAGAACATGTGCTTCCTCTTGGTTAGCATCCTCTTTGGATGAGGTAACTGGGCTTGAGAATACTGCACAGGACAACTTTGTGGGGATTTGATAATAGGGATTGGGATGGTGAGAATAATCTAATGTAGATCTTGGCTGGTTTTTATTAGAGATATTTTCAGACAGTGTTTCAAAAAGCGCCCCAGGCGGCCATGGGGGTTCAGGCCGCCCAGCGCCTAGGCCACCTAAGAGGGCGCCTAGAAGTTGGGCGGCCCAGTTGAAAAAAAGAAGATAGAAGTCAAGAAGAGATGACTATAATCTATATTTTCATACAATGCTAAAACAATAAAACCATACAAGCATACACTGATAGTCTGATAGACACAAAAGTTAGATGGTAGAAACTAGAAAGTAGAAACTAAAAATAAGAAAAAGAAAATATACAGTCTAGGACACAATAGTCAACACTCAACACCAAGAGTCAAGCACTCAAGCGTCTTCAACTCTTCATTCTTCAGTCATCATCATCATCAGAAAGAATAAGGTAAGCCTCATCATATGCATCAGATTCGAGGCCATCATCATCAGAGTTCTCTCCCTCTTCAATATAACGCTCGTCCTTCTCTGTTTTTTCTGAATCTGCATCTTCCTCCTCTTCTTCTACCTCTTCCTTACTATGTGCAGATGAGGCCCTAGGAGTCTTGGCTGCTCAACCATTTTCTATCTTTTTGTGCTTCCCTGAACTCAAATATTGTATAATCTTCTCCCTGATAGCTTCAGGAACATTTTTACATGGGGCAACATCCCCCTTAATACCGACAAGGTGTTTTTTGAACCAGTAAATACCCCTATTAGTATCATTTCCACAATAATTACATTTAATACGTTTTTTGTCATTCGGATTCGGGTTATAACCATACTTCCAATCCTGATCACCACTTCTAGAAGAACCTGGAGAAAATATTTCCATACAACAAGACTCATCTTCATCCTTTTCTGGTTCTTCTAAATTTAGAAATTGTCTTAATCTCATCCCGAATAGCTACAGAAACCTTTTACAAGAAGCAACATTTCCTTTGATACCGGCAAGATGTTTCTTGAATCGGTTAATACCCCCATTGGTATCTTTTTCACAAAAACTACACCTTATACAATTTTTATCGTTTAGTTTCGGGTTATTACTATACTTCCAACCCGGATGACTTATTCTAGAAGAACCAAAGATAGATCTATTCAAATGATAAAGGATTTTGTTCCTGTTTTTGTTTTGCAGAACTCATATATTGCTTAATCTCCTCTCTGATAGCTTCAGGAACATTTTTACAAGGGGCAATATCTCCTTTTATACCGGCAAGATGTTTCTTCAACCGGTTTATGTCCCCTTTTGTATCTTTTTCACAATAATTGCATCTAATGCAATTTTTGTCATTTGGATTCGGGTTATATCTATATTTCCAACCCGGATCTCCACTTCAACTAGATCCTGAAGAAGACATCTCAAAATAAAACAAGCAATCTAAAAAATATAAGTTTTGCACTTACTTTGATTGCTTGAACTCCAAACTCCCACCTCATATATGTTTTATGGTGGTAAATTATTAAAAAACACCTTCTAATAGGATTAAAAAACTCCAAAACTAAATTTAATCTACTTAGGTGATGCTTGAATCCATTTTCTGTGACTTCAAAATCTAGTTTTCTTTAGGTTTCCTTATCTGTAAAATGGGTTCTTGTGGATTTAGGTTTCAAATGAACCTAAAACCCATCCTTAAAAGCTGTAATATTTCAAAAAAACTCAATAGAATAATAAAAAAAAAGAAGTCATTTCCTCCCCTAAGCTAAGCGGGTGCCGTAACACCTAGGCGGCCGCTCAGGGACTGCCACCTAGGCTTGGGAGATGCGCCTAGGCCTTTTGGACCGCCTAGGCTCTGGGTGATCTGCTTTATTGAACAATGTTTTCAGGTGTGGGCTTTGTAGTTACTCTCTATTGGGGGTTTTGTACTTGGGTAACCATTTGTATTAGAAAGATTCTTATTGGGGACAAGAGCAATGATAACAGATTCTGTTTGATCATGGTTGGCAACTTTGATTTGATTTTAGTTGTGATCCATGCTTTGTTGATTGGCGTTCTCATTTGTGAATGCAGCATTCAGATCTTATTGTGAATTTGTGATTTTGGGTGGCTCTCTCCACGTTATTGAATGATTTAAAGAATGCCATCTTTTCTTGGTGCTTTCTGTAGATGCTTGCCGAATTGTTGGACATGTTATCTTCCATTCCTGCTATGGAATCACTAGTGTAACTAGGAGGACAACTTGGTGGTGGATAGGCTGTTGTGTTTCTGTGTGCTGAAGGACATAGGTCATTTGAAATGTTTCTGCAGTCCTTGCGTTCTTCCCAACGAGGCTAGCTTGTTCCATTTATATAAAGCTACTTTTGGATATCTTTGCTATTAAATGCTGCTTCATTTATAATTATAGAGTGGTATAATTTTAGATTGGTGCACATCTTTGAAATTTCAAAGATATACTCTCTTGTTGCATGCTTTGTGGTTTCCCAGGAAGTGATCTTGTTTATTGTTGTAATGAATGATATCACTGTGTTTATCTCTTTATTTCTTTTTAAATATTATTTTGTCATAGATTTTTGGGATTTGCTTTGTATATGGTTTTGATCAGTTTTTTATATATGTTGACATAGGTTAGTGCGTCTTATGAGCAGGCTCTAATGGATGCCCGCAAGCTCATAGAGCGTGAAATGGAGCGATTTAAAGTTTGCGAAAAGGAAACTAAGACAAAGGCCTTCTCAAAAGAAGGGCTAGGCCAACAACCGAAAACTGTAAGTCCTTATGCTTCTCCCTTATGATTTTAATCTTACTTATTTGTAGTGCTGGAGTGTTGAATAATTGGGCATCCTGTTCTCTCTGTGTAGTATCCAAGATTTGAATAATTGAGCATCCTATTCTCTGTGTTTCTGTAATCCTTTGGCGATTACGTTTTGTTACTTGAAGTTTATTTACCCAATGTGACACGCATATGGAAAGCATATGGTATGCCCATGGCTCATGGCTGTCGAAAAACACCACAGGCAAAAACTGGCAAGGGGGATTTCTTTTACTTGAATTTTGGGTATCTTATTTGTTCATCTTAGTGATCAGTCTAAACAAATTGGTTTTGGAGGTCAAGAAAAGTGATCCACCTAAATTACACTAATAACTGTTGTTGGCCATTCATTAATGGCTATCAAATCTAGGCATTTTAAAACACAAAACTGTTTTTCTTCTCCTTGAAAATGTGAATGATAGAAGATTCCCAAAATTTAGGTCAAAAAATACCCATTCCAGATTTTGTTTGCTCTGGCATTCTTTTCTACAGTTTTGAAATAGGGTTACCAAATATTTTCCCATGCATGTTCATATGTATGTATGTATGAATACATGCGTGTATCTATGTGTGTGCATGCGCACGCACGAGAGCGCTCTATCTCCTGGAGCTGAGTGAGTTTTATTCTGTTCATGGTTGATTTGTGGGCCTTGTTTTGTGATGTCTTAGGGATTTATCTTATTATAAAGATTGGCTTTTCATCTAAATGAGTATTAGGACTGAAATATATTGGTTAATTGGAGAAAGAGAGGGACATATCATTTTTTTGTTTTAAAAAAAACTTAAAAGTTCTTTGGAAATTGAAGTTCTTTCATTGCATAAAAGATTGAACAAGAAAAAAAAAAAATTTGAGAGAAAACTTCAAACATGCACCAGCCAGGAATTAAACAGGAAAAAATTAGAACGCATTGGAAACTAGTCAAATGTTTGTGTGCTTTTACTAACTGCAAGAAAAAGCTGCAGTCTTCTATTTTGAGTAAAAACATGCATTTTTTGAGTTGTGCATGAAAAATATGTGTTTTGGAGAGGCAACTTGATTGTTTTTTTTTTTACCAAATAGTTGGTACTACATATATTGCAATTGGAATTTATTTTTTCTTTGTTATTTATTGCCAACTTGTTACATCTTTTGTTGTTCCGGGATAGGACCCGAAAGAAAAGGCCAAAGCAGAGACAAGGGAATGGTTAAACACTGCGGTAAGAGGAAGATTTTTTTCTTGCTCTCTATATTACTTGCTTAATGTTAATATCAGCTTAGCTTCAGATTTGGACGGTATGCTTTGTTACTAATGGCATTTCAAGTTGGTTTTTCATTTTTTACTTTAGTTAAATGCATGTGAATCAGAGAAAATGTAACTGTTTAAATTTGTCCTTATCTGTGATAGGTGGGAGATTTGGAGGGTCAGATCGACTGCTATGAAGCTGAAGTTGAGGGCCTATCTGTAAAGAAAGGAAAAACAAGACCTCCTCGGCTGGTATGTTTTCAGATACTATTATAAACATATGGTTTACAAAATACCGTTTTCGTGAGGATGTTATCATGATTCTTTCTATTATTTTTGGTGATGATTCTATCATGATTCATTTTATATCCACATCCTTGCATTAACTGATCACTATTGTCTCTGCATTCGAGACTGATGCACATGCCTTTATGAAACTCTCCATCTTTGGTGTATATCTCGCTTTTTATGACGTTGATTTTTTGCAGACGCATTTGGAGGAATCTATTACCCGGCATAAGGCTCATATCATGAAGCTAGAATTGATTTTGAGACTTTTGGATAATGATGAATTGAGTCCTGAACAAGTAAATGATGTTAGGGATTTCGTGGAGGATTACGTTGAGCGCAATCAGGTTTAGTTTCAATGTTTTTGTTTCTTCATTGTTTTCATTTTGGTTCTATTGCAGATTGATACCAACATTTGAATGGATGCCAATATTATGTTTGTCCTCTTTTTCATGATTTATCTCTTGAAAGGAGGACTTTGATGAATTTAGTGATGTCGATGAGCTGTACAACTCATTACCATTGGACAAAGTGGAAGCACTTGAAGATCTAGTTGCCATTGGTCCCCCTAGCCTCGTTAAGGTAACATTTGTGCAGGAAATTGTGCATGTACTCTATGTTGACTTATTGTCAAGGGTCATGTCTTTGTTTGAATTTTCTCTGTTTTTTAGTATGAGGGTGAAGAGCCTCTGGAAAATAGCCTTTCTGCTTAAAAGAACTCTTTTATTGCTTTTCAACATTTCTTTCTTCTTCTTTTTTTAATTTCGAATGCTTGATGAGCTCCACTCTCCCACTTTTTGTAACTACTTGAAAAACATTTACTCTATTAATTGTTGACGTGTTGGAAGACTTCAGCACAGATATTGTTACTCCACTTGGTCTTCCGCTCTTGCTTCACATGAAGGAGGTTTTTAACATATTGTGGACTGCTTTCTATGGGTCATATTGGCTCATATTTGCCTATTTTATTCATTTCTTGATTGATATGGCACACAGCCCGAACGTTGTTTTGTTTTTTCGTTTCTTTTTCATTTTTTGGTGTTTTATTGTGGGATAACTTGTGTTTCGTTGTTTTCCTCTCTCTCTCTCTCTCTCTCTATATATATATATATATATATACATAGGAAAAAGCTAACAATAGCTTGGCAGCTATAATGAATAGTAATATAGGTGGAATCCCAGCCGTAAGATCTTCATCACGTGTTCAAAATACATATCACTATGTTAGTTTTAATTTTTTTATATAAATCTGATTAAGATGAATAGTAATATAGGTGTATATACCTAACACTATTGCACACTATATAAAAATATAAAAAAATTATTTTCTATAATTTAAAATGATCAAATTACCCCCATCATTTTTCAAGGGGTATTTCGGTCATTTTATATTTTGGGAAATATTTTTTATATATTTTTTAATTGTGCACCCTATTTTTACATGTCTAAAATTTCATTATGATCTGATTTCTAGAAAAAATAGTAAAATTCATTTAGTGATATGTATTCTGAACTACATGATGAAGATCTGACGGCTCCCATTCCTCCTATATTACTATTCATTATAGCTGCCCAGCTATTGTAAGGTTTATATATATATATATGTTCTCTTTGAATTAAACTATGATCCCACTTGACAGGGTCCTATGAGGTGAAAAATTGTTGATTACATGTTTCCTTTTGCTGATTGTACTTTATTATTTTCCTGCAAAAAAAGGACAGTTCATGATGTTCTTCATGTTATATATTGTGGTAGGGTGTTGGTTCTTCCACAGCAGGCAGTGGGATTTTAAGCATGAAGAGTTCTGTTACAGCTTCACCTACTCAGCTATCTGTAAGTCGTATTCTGAATGGAGAAAGTACATTTTAATTTTTGATATCTTGAAAAGAAAACCACTAACCTGTTTCCTGAGGCTTGAAGTTTGAAGTGCTGCAGATTTGAAATCCCTATAGTTATGTCATCTGGCATTCCCTGTTATTTTGTAACCCTGTAACCCTACGAAGTATTTTGCTGTTGTGCCTTATTGATTAAAACAAATAGCTTATGTATTTGGATTTCTCCTTTTTGAGCTTTATTTGTTTCTCATGTTCAGCAAGGAAGCACCGTTAGGGACCACACTGAAGAAACAGCTTCCCAAGATAGTAATTCTGATACCCTACCTAGGACGCCTCCTTCTTCCAAAAGTGGCATCCTGAGTTCTTCAAATCCCTCGGCTCCTTCAGGAATCAGTTCTGGTTTGGCAACGGGGGTTAATACAACTACTTCCAGTGCTGGTGTTCTTGCCCATGGCTTAGGTGGGGTAACCCTCACTTCATCAGTGCTTCCAAGTCCAGGACCTGCACGCAGTATCTTGGAATCTGGTGCTTCAGCTCCATTGTCACCTATAACTCAGGCCAATTCTACTAAAGAGGATGATAGTCCGAACCTTCCAGGAAGAAGACCATCTCCAGCTCTTAGTGATGTTGGGTTAGCAAGAGGTACTGGAAGGGGTATTCCCTCAAGTCAACCATCAGCTAGTGTTCCCTTGAGCTTGAGTTCAGGTGGTGGAGCCCTTGGCACAGTTCCTGCAATCTCTGAATTGGCAAAGAGAAGTAATGCAGGAACAGATGAAAGAATTGGAAGTGGAGTTCAGCAGCTAGTTTCTCCTCTGACCAATAGAGTTCTATTGCAACAACCGATCCCTAAGTCCAATGACAGCTCTGGTTCAACTGACACCAGCAGTGTTGTGGAGGGTGCTACCTTAAGTGGGAGAGTTTTCAATCCTTCAGTTGTTTCAGGAGTGCAGTGGAGACCTCACAGTGCGAGTTCATTACAAAATCAGACCGAGGCGGTATGCTTTCTTCTATTGATTACTGTTGCGATGATTTTCATGCCAAAGGCCCTTTCTTATATATTCATCTGGGGAAGCATCTTCCTGATAGACCTATGATCTTTGACCCTTTGATTTGGCATCTGTTAACAAGTTCTACCTTCATGTATTGAATATACACATCCACACTTTAACATGCATGTATGCAAACTTTTTTATGTATTTGAAATTGCCTATGGTTGATGATTATTGTTCTTTTCACTTTATCATTTATGTTAAATGTTGACTTTTTCTTTTACTTTATCATTTATGTCAAATATTTTGGTGCCTTCTTCAGATTAAAATACGTTTATGAACAAATCACATCCGAATATCTTACTCTGCTTTTGATCTGAGAGGAAAGTTTGTTTGTGGAGGTGTCAGGGACAGGTTAGAAGACCTGAATTCGCACCTGATCAGAGGGAGAAATATCTTTACCGCCTCCAGCAAGTACAACAGCAAGGTCACGGTACCCTTCTTGGAGGACCTCATCTTCCTGGTGGAAATCATAAACAGTTCATTACCCAACAACAAAGCCCCCTTTTGCAGCAGGTCATTTCCCATGATCTAATATCAAGATTTTGATTATTTACTGCCATGCTGTCAGCTGGACAAAGTTCAATACCATTTCTTTCCTAATAGGGCTATGTTTTTTTACTACAACTTTGGTGTTTTTTCTTGACAACAACATTGCCACCGTTTATAAATACACAGCACTTGCAATGTCATTCAGAACTTAATCTTATCCCTTACTTCGCTCATAACTGTGCAATATTTGATTTGCTGCAGTTGAATTCTCAAAGCTCATCTGTATCAGGACAAGCCGGACTAGGTATTGGTGTTCAATCCCAGGGCTTCTCTACTGTGACTTCTGGTTTACAACTGCAGCTGAGTACTGTGCAACAGGGATCTGCTCAAAATGCCATGGTTTCAAGTGGAATATTGAAAGATTCTGGTATTTAAACTTAAAATTGTGATTTATTAATTTATTTCTTCTGTTTTTGCACTTGTGGGTTTTCTACTTGTGCTTTAGTCCTTCAGTTATTTTTTTTATTCTTTAAATTGTTCTTCAAAAAAAAAAGCCATCTAATTTGAAAAGCATTTTTTTTATACTTAATTTCATTGAAAAAAAGATGTCTCTGGGAAATTAGAAGATCAACAATCCCAGCAGAAGCCATCAGATGATTCAAATGTGGATCCTACTACAAGCTTAGCATTCACCAGGAACCTGAACAATGAGGAGGAATTAAAGAGTTCATACACATTAGATACCCCTGTAAGTTTTGACTTGAGGAATACTTGTACTTGTTTTTAAATTTATTTTGTACTTTTTTTTTTAAATTTAAAGTTCAATAAAATACTTATTAACCCTCCTTTGGCGAAGCATTTTGCTTGCTTGTTGGGGTTCCTGTCTGAATACACATGGTCCTGATTGTCAATACATATATATGGGATAAAGCTACCAATAGGTTGTACCTAAAATGAGTAGTAGTATAGGTTGTGCTCCCAGCCGTTAGATCTTGATTTGATGGTCAAAAATTCATATCCACTACTTGAATTTTAATCTTTTTTCTGCTAATCAGTTTAAGCTAAAATTTTAGGTGTATGTACTTGACACCATCACACACCATATAGAATTATAAAAAAAGATTTTAAAAAATTAAAAATGACCAAATTATCCCCATCATTTTTCAGGGATAGTTTGGTGATTTTATATTTGGGAAATGACCAAACCAAACTAGTTGGAATGAATTTCGTTCTTCTACAGGTTTCAGGTCCTAGCTCACTGGCTGAAAGTCAAATGCCCAGAGATACAGATTTATCTCCAGGGCAACCTTTACCATCATCCCAATCGTCAGTTGGCCTTGGTGTTATTGGTCGAAGAAGCATTTCAGATCTTGGTGCCATCGGTGATAATCTTAGTGGATCAAGTGCAGCTTTGGGAGCAGTGCATGATCATCTATATAATCTACAAATGCTTGAAGCAGCTTGTTACAACAAGCTCCCACAACCAAGTGACTCAGAGCGCACAAACAAATATGTCCCTGTATGAGACTTTATTTCTAGTAGTTATTGTTTTGAAATGTTGAAGTCGGAGACATATGACCTTCTTTATAGTGGTAATTCCCTTGAAATGTTGTTGAGCATTTCTTGATTTTGGCATTTGGTTTGATCTAATTTCAGAAGCATCCTGCTGCAACCCCTTCAAGCTACCCTCAAACTCAGGCTCCCATCATTGAGAACCCTGCCTTTTGGGGGAGAGTGGACTCTGATACATTGTTCTTTGCATTTTATAACCAACAGGTTGATTTTTATTCTTTTATTTTGCTTCTTAGAAACAAGGAATATCTGGTTTTCTATGCGACTGATGGCAGAGTATGTCCTTTCTAAGCAGAACACTTATCAGCAGTACTTGGCTGCAAGAGAGTTGAAAAGGCAGTCATGGAGATACCACAAGAAATACAATACTTGGTTTCAGCGGCATGAGGAGCCAAAAATAACAACACATGATTTTGAACAGGGAACATATGTCTACTTTGATTTCCACATAACAAATGATGAGTTCCCGCAAGGGTGGTAATTGGCCATAACACTGGAATTTTGATTAGCAAAGCTTTACGTTTTTACTGGTTTAGTGTCACATTTCTAACTTTATCTTATTAGCTTCGCCTCGTACTTGTTGTGGGGAACAAAGAAACAACTAAACATGCTCTCACACCTTAAGACTCCCACCTTTCTAACTGTTTGACATTAATGTTGTATTTAGTGGCACTGTGGCATCTGTAATGGCAATTAAGATTCGTTAGAGAGTTTCCTTTAATTCTTTTGTGCATTTTTATTGTAGGTGCCAAAGAATCAAAACTGAGTTCACATTTGAGTACACCTACCTTGAAGATGAGCTTGTCGCATAGCCATGCAGCCTCCATACATCATCACCAGTGTCCGTGTAGAAACAAGTGAGACTTCCGCTCTCTCTCTCACTCTCTTATATGCATGTGAGAGAACACGAATTCACTCTCTCTCTCTCACACACACATATGCCTATGAGCATACACGAATTCACTCTCTCCCTCACAGAGACTAATTCTCTCTCTCTCTCTCTCTCTCTCTCAACTTTCAGAGAAACTGGCTCTCAGTCTTTCTGCATTGAAAGAAGTTAAAGGTTTTAGCTGATTTGAACAGGGTGCGAAGTCACTTGGAGCGACTGGTTCTTTGGTTTCTATGTACATTTCTCCTTCGGGTACTTTATAATCCCTGAATCCCTCTGTTATTTCTTTTCTGCAAATGCCAGGGAAGGAGGGGTTATGTGAG